GTGTGTTAGTGGAGTAGGTAGTGTGTGTGTGTGTGTTAGTGGAGTAGGTAGTGTGTGTGTGTGTGTTAGTGGAGTGTGTGTGTTAGTGTTAGTGGAGTAGTAGGTAGGTGTGTGTGTGTGTGTGTTAGTGGAGTACCACTCTGACACTAAAAAAGTAGGTAGTGTGTGTGTGTGTGTCCAGCGAAGTTAGTAGTGGGAGTAGGTAGTGGTGTGTGTGTGTGTGTTAGTGTAGTGTGTGTGTGTGTTAGTGGAGTAGGTAGTGTGTGTGTGTGTGTTAGTGGAGTAGGTAGTGTGTGTGTGTTAGTGAGGTGGGTAGTGTGTGTGTGTTAGTGAGGTGGGTAGTGTGTGTGTGTGTGTTAATGGGGTGGGTGGTGAGTGTGTGTTATATAATATGCAGGCGATGAGTCACAATAACGTGGCTAAAGTAGTTTGTCCAGACCACACACTAGAAGGTGAAGGGACGACGACGTTTCGGTCCGTCCTGGACCATTCTCAAGTTGATTGTGATGAGGAAGTAGATGCAGGCAATAAATAGGCTAGAAAGAGGTGAGGAGCAAAGTGTAGTAGAGGAGATAGTAGGAACTGCAGAGGGCCTATTGGCCCATACGAGGCAGCTTCTATTATAACCATCGAATGAGGAGATAGTAATAGGAATAAGAGGAGGATAGTAAGGGAACGTAAAGAAAACAAAGAACAGAGAAGAGAGGAGAGAAAGAAAAAAAGAGAAAGAAAGATAAATGGAAAGGTAAGCTATGTAAGGTCACGTTTGTTAGAAAGATTAGAGCATTTAAGTATATACTGTGAAAGGGAAGAGTCCACAGCAACAAAGCCAGGACTCAAGTTCATGTTGGGTACATTGTGTATTAAAGCCGATTCAACAAGATGGTGTCTATGTAGAGTAGAGGCAGGAAAGATTATTTTGGAGGAAGACCAATCAATAGGATGATTGGAATCCCTCACATGACAGAAGAGAGCATTGTTAGTGTCTGCAGACTTAACACTTCTCTTCTGTTCTTTAAGTCTGTCATTCAGTGTACGGCCAGTTTCACCAAAGAATTGGAGAGGACAAGACGAACAGGAAATAGAGTAGACACCAGCAGCATTAGAAGTACGAGGAGCAGTGTGAACTAGATTGCTACGAAACGTCGTCGTCCCTTCACTTTCTAGTGTGTGGTCTGGTCAAATTATATAATATTGCATTGATTATTAAAATGGAAATTGTATTGGTGCAATACAACACTATGTATCGGTGCAATGCAATACTACGACGAATATCATAGATGAGACAATCACCAGGGAAGGCTGGCTCCAGGTCTGGCAGTTGGAGTAGAAGAATTCTCAAAATTGTCCATAGATCAAAGACACAATGACGTGGTATTGAATATAACTTGCAAGTGTCTGTGATTTGCCCTTACAGGCAAAATATTACTTAAAAATTCCAGTAGGCACATGTTGCACAAATGACATTGATTCAATGTTGAATCATTATTAATAACTTTGATTCAACAGTGGGTCACTGTTACTTGAGCGTATTTTGCCCACTGGGTTCTGATCGTGATGCTTCTCAAGTTTCTGAAAGCTAGAACAATGGAAATAACAGCACAGTACAAGAAAAGTATAAAAGATGCAACTTAGTAGTTAGTGGAAGGCTTAATACACGAGTTCTTACATTCTTGTACAGCCACTAGCACGCATAGTGTTTCGGGCAGGTTCTTAATCTAAATTTTCCTGGGAATATGACCCGCCAAATCGTTTAACAACCAGGTACCCATTCACTACTGGGTGAACAGAGGCAACTGTTAAGGATTGGTACCCGGTCAATCCTCCCGGCCAGGATACGAACCCAGGCCAAAGTGCTCGCGAAGTGCCGGACGAGTATTTTACCGCTGCACCATAGGGACTGCTAATGTTTATAAAACCACCCAAACCACACAAAGCCATATATAATTATGTAAATAAAGCTTAAATTATACATGCTGTGATTAATTGATAATGGAAATATGGTACTGTACTGTACTTTTACAGCTGGAAAAAAATTAATTTTAATAGAAAATACTCATTTCATACTAGAATCTAGACAAAAATAGGTTGTTCCTAATATTTATATGAAGGGTTTATCCTCCCGATGACTGCATGATTACTAATGCTGAGACACATCAGTGTTAAGAAAGACAAGGTTTCAAAAGTGTTTGTCGTCTTTAGTCGCCGCTACTCTATCTACAGCAAAACAGAGGCATGTGTTAGAGGGAGACTTTCTGCACTGTAGTGCAGGATGTTGTTTTTATGGCATATCTTGAGATCTTGAGGTTATCTCGATGATTTCGGGGCTTAGCATCCCGCGGCCCGGTCCTCGACCAGGTCTCATTTTTGTTACACACCCCCGAGGAAGCAGCCCGTAGCAGCTGTCTAACTCCCAGGTACCTATTTACTGCTAGGTAACAGGGGCATCAGGATGAAAGAAACATTTTGCCCATTTGTCTCCACCTCCACCTGTAGAGACAATGCATTTTCTTCATTTTTGTCTCCACTCTTAACGTTCTTCAAGTACAGTAAGGAAAAGTCAAGAGTGCCATGAGTGTAGTTAGAGAACATATAAATAACTATCAGAGGTCAACGACTCTTAAACACCTTGCCGGGATAGTCTGGCCGTGATGGGTATGTGACTCTGGGCTGCAATCAGGCAAGCAGACAAACAGCATCATAAACCAGGCAATCACCAAGGAATTAGCAGTCTTAGAAAAAAAATAGCAGTGCAATACATTACATCAATACAATGTAATATAACTACAGTAGTACACTATATGGTATATATTTGTCTTCATAAATATGTAATACTTAATATGTAATACTACAAATTATATTGAAATTGTGTGTAATCAATCTCATGGTGATATCTTTCATGAACTTAATTCTCACATTCCTGGCACCCTGCATAAATAAGCACTATCTTTAATTAAACTTATAGGATTGCTACTGTCACTGGTATCACTGTTGGGGGGCCAAGAAGCCAGTAGCTTGTGGAAGTTGTCTCAATTTGATTTAATTTTTTCAAAGTACAGTACTGTACAGTACAGGTATAGTATATATATACTTCATGTTTGTTCTGCACTGTGGTATTGCAAGCTGCAGTGGCAATCCATAATTTTCTTCATAATATATATACCATACATGCTCCCATTTCTATGGGTTCCCAGGAACAATATTAATGAATTGAACTGTACTTGCCTAGTTCTCTCGTATTTGTGCTTGCAGGGGTTGAGCTTTGGCTCTTTCGTCCCGCCTCTCTGCTGTCAATCAACTGGTGTACAGATTCCTGAGCTTATTAGGCTCCATCATATCTACATTTGAAAATGTGTATGGAGTCTGCCTCCATTACATCACTGCCTAATGCATTCCATTTGTTAACTACTGACACTAAATTTTTTTTATCAAAAACATATTAAAAATAAATGTTAATGTTTTAGTTACTGGTACTGTATACTGTATCTTTGTTGGGGATTGGAAGCCTTTTATGCTTATCGAGGTCCTGCTTTCCAATCTAAGTAAGGCTGTTGGTGTGATCACCCATCATGTGTATGTGATGTATTGGCCATACAGTATTTAGTGGTGCTTAACCTGACTGATTGCCATGCACATCATCTATTGCCCTACACCATTTAAAGTCAAATATTAATATTTACATAAATTAATGAATTGTTCGTTGCAACTAAGGTCATAGTATAAATACATGATACAGGTCTACCTGCTGTATACTAAAAATGTCCTAATTTTATTTACCTGATTTTACCCGAGGGCCTTTAACCCCAGTAGCCTCGATGAGAACAGGAAGCCGGTGGCTTGTCGAAGGTCCGCCCATTTGCCTTGCCTATATTTTTGAGGTTCCTGCATTCTATTGGGATAGGTTAAGTTTAGTTATATTTATTAGGTTTAGCATAATGCAGGCTGGTGGTAATTTACCACCACTAGCATTTCTCTCTTGCCACAAAAACTATGATTTTCTGTATTTAAATTCCATAAGTGGATGAAGCATATAAACCTATGATTACCACTTGGATAGCAGTGTAATCAACCATATGACTGTACATTACTGAGAAGAAACAGGTGATATGATCACTACATACAAGACTCTGAAGGGAATAGACAAGGTCAACAAAGACAGCCTCTTCAACTTAGGAGAAAGTAGGACAGGAAGCATCAAGACATTGGTGGAAACTGAAAACGCAAATGAGTCGAAGAAATGTTTAGAAATATTCGTGTGCCATTGGGATGGTCAGCAAGTGGAATGGACTGAAAAAAGTGGTGGATGCTAACCTCCATCTACACATTTAAGGCCAGATTTGACAATGATTTTTATCTTCAGAATACAGTAGTTAAATTACATAGTGACAGGTTAGTAGGCAGGGCATAAAGAACTTAACCTCGCTTCCTTGTAGTCACTGATAAATAAGCATGTATTTTTTTACTGTAATGGTTATTAATTAAAAAAAGTGCAGTACAAAAGAAAACATAGTGCTGTAGTACAAGTCAAAAGATTCTCTTTTGCTATGTTGTGAGCACAGAAGTACATATATTTAATTCAGAACTTTTTGAAATCCAATACAGTATTAATATTTGCATTCCAATGCAAGTTGTCAGTACAAAGGATGTTATTTTCCATATATAATAATTGAAACAATATTGGATTTGACCAGACCACACACTAGAAGGTGAAGGGACGACGACGTTTCGGTCCGTCCTGAACCATTCTCAAGTCGATTGTCACAATTCTGAAGTCACAATCGACTTGAGAATGGTCCAGGACAGACCGAAATGTCGTCGTCCCTTCACCTTCTAGTGTGTGGTCTGGTCAAATTACTTTAGCCACGGTATTGTGACTCATCGCCTGCAATATTGGATTCTTTATGCTAACAACTTGCATTAGAATGCTAACATGCATGAAACCAATTACTATATTAAGTTTTGTCATTGATCTCTGATCCCCTGCTCCTCTCACCTCGTAGAGTGAACCAGATTCTGGCTTCTGGCTCCTGAATGTGTCTCGGAGATCTGTGTGTTGAACTAAGGCTTGGTGGTACAAGAGTTAAGCTCGGGGTGCGGCTGGGGGCCCATCAGAAAAGGTAATTTCATTGCATCTGACACGTGATTTTCAAGTCCCTGATAACTTTCGGAAATTGAAGCATATGTGCAGTATTATAATTAGGTATGGTTACCCATAACATAACTGTGCAGGGTGCTTTGTGGGTGAATGTGTTCTAATTTCTTTTTCAGTTATGTAAGGAAATAATAATATTTAGAGATCTTGTCATTATTGAGAAATCTAAAATTAATAGACAGAATAGGCTACACCTATATAAAAATTCCGGTTCATTCCAAATTTTTAATTATTGACGGGTTTATTCGGTAATGATTAATTTACCCCTAGATGTCAGAGGTGGAAGAAAAAGCGAGCAGCACAAGCGAGCGCCTACGTGAGGAATACCGCAGGCATGTGAAGACACAAATCTCTCATGACCTGGTTGACACAATTGCCACACTAGAACAGCATCAAGAGCACTTGCTGCAGCTGTGTGACCAACTCAAGCTTGCCAAGAAACAGGTAATAAATAAAAATAGCCATTGTGTTTCTTTAGGTTTTGTAGTGAAGAAGACTTTTCTGCAAAAAAAAAAAAAAAAAAAAAAAAAAAAGGGGGATGGGTTTACAGTGGCACTCAAAAAATCTAAACCCCGATATAGCAGATTTTGAGAATCTGGACCAAATCTGCCAACCAAATTTTTCCTCCAAATTTAGATTCTACAAAAAACCTGGATTTAATTTTAATAATAATAATTAAATTTTATTGGGGGACAGACAAGCTGTGTATATATACATGTTAGGCTTATATCAAGGGGCCCCTTTCCCCCCCATTCACCCAAAGGTTAAACTACTAACCCTCTGCAGTATGCAACCACACAACAAGCTGACTAATGCCTGGGTACCATTTTGCTGCTAGGTGAACAGAGGCATTAGGTGAGAGTCGGTCGGCCGAGCGGACAGCACACTAGACTTGTGATCCTGTGGTCCCGGGTTCGATCCCGGGTGCCGACGAGAAACAATGGGCAGAGTTTCTTTCACCCTATGCCCCTGTTACCTAGCAGTAAAATAGGTACCTGGGTGTTAGTCAGCTGTCACGGGCTGCTTCCTGGGGGTGGAGGCCTGGTCGAGGATTGGGCCGCGGAGACACTGAAAGCCCCGAAATCATCTCAGGATGACCTCAAGATAAGAAATGTACCCAATCATTTCTGTCCCACCCAGGATTCGAACCTGGAATTCCCGATTGAGAGTCAAGAACAAACCCAACTGTACTAATGAGACCCTGAGTGTTTTGTGGAAGACATGGTCAAATCCCGATTGTCAGTTTTCATGTAAAATAATTTTCATCAAATTTAATTTTTTTCAGTTTTCCTAATCTTGCTTTTTTTGTTTTTATTGAATTTGCAAAGTTCACCACTAGGTCAAACAGGGAATGCTGTAATTGTGTTGGTTATATACTACACATAATATTTATAACCCCTCAAAATCATTGTTTATATATTATTGTTTATGTACAACATCTAAACATATGTAAACATGTATTATTTGCAATAAGAAAAATCCAGAAGCTTTGGTGGTAAATAGCCAAGAAAGGGGGAATTTTGAGAAATCCAGATATCAGCAAATCCAGATCGGGTCTGGATTTGCTGATACCTGGAATGGTAAAATGAATGGAATGATACAATCCGGGTTTTTGAGGTTCCCTTGAACAGTTACTGTATATTGAAATTTGTATTAATGTTAATGAACTTCTGAAGGGATGCTATATTGTTTTCAATTAAATTTTTTTATTTAATTTGAGGTGAACATGTAATATCTGGAGAATGTAATTCGTGTAATGGGCTAATAATTCCAGTTGTCAGAGATAGAAAGCCTCTTAGGCATATGAAAATCCCTTTCAGCCAACTGCTGACATAAAGATATAACCCACAACAATTGCAAAGCTTCTAGATACTGTACCTATTTTATTAAGTGAATAGAGGCATTAGGTGGAAGGAAACGTGTCAGTGTTTGTCCTGGCAGGGTACTGAACCCGGCCACTTGGGTGAGAGCCAAGGATGCAGAATACTGAGCTACAGAAACCTATAATAGTGGAGCAAGGAAAATCGTATATTTATTGAGCCATGAAGACCCTTGTTACAGATTTTAGAACATTTAAAAATTATTGGGAAGCATGGCAGGAGGTGGCAAAATAGCCCCATTGAAAAACAAACATGCAATATGTTCTCAGAGACAGTTCTGTCAACATTAAGGGATCAAAGCCTTTAGACTCCTTCTCTAAACATTAGTGGCATAACTTGCTGACCTCTCAGGATGTTCAAAAGAGAACTAGATAAACTCTTCCAAAGGATACCTGATCAACATGGCCCAGAGAATGGACCATGTTGACATTGATACCTAGATCCAACACAAGGTAAACCTTGAGTTTTTTTTATAATGAATATACATACTGTACATAGTTTCAAACAAATTTCTACCTCATGCCTAAGGATAACCTCAGTACAGTGGAAACCCCACCCCCATTTCCTTGATTCTCTGATGACCTGGACATACAAATTTTCAGTTCTCCACCCTTATTAACCAGATTATATCATATTAATGGCACCAATCCCCATTATCTATGAAGTCTCCACACAATTTTTTGGGGGAGGTCACTTTATTTATACTAAATAACACCCAAAATTAATTGGGCTTCCTATATGTACTGTTCATTGGTGTATTTTTAATATAACATTAGTACAGGTAAGTTTAGGTCAGTGGCAGTGCCAGAAATGTTTATCTGGAAAGATCATAAAAACCAGATGAACCTTCAGGTCCTGCCAGAATATCGGTGCATTCTCTCACAACTGTCCACCCACTCTGACCCTTTTTCTTGGGAGGATGTCTGCTTGTCACTTGTGTTGGGTGAGGATTTTGGCTTTGACCCCCAGAGCCCTCATGGCAGGCCTACAGGGCTAAGGGGGGAGCCCGAGGAGGGCCCATACGTGTCCTTAGCACTTCATGAACTCTGCTTCCCTCTGCAGAGGGTGTTTTGCTTCAGAAGGATAATTTTTTATATACTCCCCTCATGTATGACTGATCACTAAGCTGCTACCCCTCAAGTTTGCTTCCAGTTCCTGTACACTGCCTCAGAGTTACCTTATTTCTAAAGGTTTGTCTTCTTACACTGCACTTTGTGGTCTGCATGATTTTGCTTCAGTGCCTTTTAAGGAACTTTGACCTCTTCTCTATGAAGGATCCTGCCTTTTTTGAGTACAGGTCTGTCTGTCTGAACTGGCTGTGGTGTGAGGTCTCTGGTTCATCCTCGCTGGCTAACAATCCTCTCTTTTTTTTTCTCCTTGGAGCTTAGCAGGGGCTCTATCATACTTGCACCTTGATTGGCAGGTGTGTTCCATTGTTCTGGTAATCCTGGGCAGTGCTTCTTATACTCTGCTCATGAACTGCCTGTTGGCTTTAGTGCTCCTCGAAGGATGTAGGCATTTGGCAGTTCCATGTGCATCTGAGTGCTGCCCAGGGTCCCTTATTGTGGAGGACCACAGGGTTCGTTTGCACTTGGCAGCAGTCTTGGATGTTTGGGTACTTGTGGAGGGGGGCTCTGAGCAACTTGATGAGGGCGTGGTGTCACTGGGTTCCACCCTGGGTGTGGAGGTCTTGTGGCCTCTGGTTCCAGCCTTGGTGGCTTTGTTCAAGATGCATACTCCTCTCCTTTGTGAGGTGGTGGCAGCATTTTATTGTCTGCCTTGTGCGTTAACAGGTCGTTTTAGCCCATTTGTTAGCTTCAGCTTTGTCGCCTATCCTTTTGTCCACCACTCCCTTCTTAATTTCTCTTTCATGAGGATGTCATTGCACAGGTTGTGTCCATGGTGGCTTGGTCTTACTGCCCCATAGATAATTTGTTGTTTCCTTGGGGTTCTGCCTCCACTTTGAAGGTGGTTGGGTGAGGTAGGGACCTAACCTCCTTTTGGTTGGGGGTAGGTCTTTGGTCTTAGGTCTTTCCTTTCCTCCTCTTGTTAGAAGTTGCATCTATGCATCACAAAGATTGTTATGCTTGAACACTCAGTACAAGCATAACCTCAATACAATGGAAGCCCCCCATTTCCTTGATTTTCTGATGATCTGGACATAAAAATTTTCAGTTCTCCACCCTTATGACAGTGACACACTTTAGTATAAATAAAGTGACCTTCCCCCCAAAAATTGTGTGGAGACTCCATAGATAATGGGGATTGATGCCATTAATATGATATGATCTGGTTAATAAGGGTGGAGAACTGAAAATTTGTATGTCCAGGTCATCAGAGAATCAAGGAAATGGGGGGTTTCCTGTGTACTGAGGTTATGCTTGATTGTTATGCCTGATTGTCATGCCAGCCCTTTCATGGTTCACCCCTTGACATTGCCGTTCGGGGGGAGGGGGGGGATTGTCTGGCTGCTTCTGTTGGGTCCTGGTCCCACGATTCATAGGCTTTTTGGGTCTGTTGCCGTAGCCTATCTTGAGGTCATCTTGAGATGATTTCGGGGCTTTTTAGTGTCCCCGCGGCCCGGTCCTCGACCAGGCCTCCACCCCCAGGAAGCAGCCCGTGACAGCTGACTAACACCCAGGTACCTATTTTACTGATAGGTAACAGGGGCATAGGGTGAAAGAAACTCTGCCCATTGTTTCTCGCCAGCGCCCGGGATTGAACCCGGGACCACAGGATCACAAGTCCAGTGTGCTGTCCGCTCGGCCGACCGGCTCCCGTATGGTGGACCTACTGTACATCCTCGATATTTTGGGATTAAGCTGCTTCATTCCCTGTCTGACCTTTTGCATGACCACTTTGGTCCAAGATCACCTACTATAACAGGTTGGAGCTTGGATGGCATCCCTGGACCTCAGAAATTAGTTGACACATCTCAAGACATCCCAGTTTCAGGGACTGGCTAAGTTTTGTTGTGGGTCATCAGGCTTACCACAACAGTGTTCTTCCCTTCAGCTTGAATCTGGCTCCCTTTGTATTCACCAGGTTAGTGCAGGTCGTTGTGGCCTGGCTTCATCTGTTAGGGATTCGTGTGTTGGCCTACCTTGATGACTGGCTGGTGTGGGTCCCCTGCCAGTCTGCATGTCAGCTGGCCAGGGATCTGGTTAGGGATCCCAGCTGGTTGGGTTGACCCCCACACCCAGCTGATCCCAGCTGGTTGGGATCTGGATCCAGGGAGCATAACCAAGCAAATATTGCGACAGCCAGAAAAATGATAGGATGGATCACAAGAACTTTCAAATCCAGGGATCCCTCACAATGGTTGTACTCTTCAAGTCACTTGTATTGTCCCATCTTGAGTACTGCTCAGTACTCACTTCCCCCTTCAGAGCAGGAGAGATTGCTGAAATAGAGGGAATACAATGAACATATACGGCACGCATAGATGCGATAAAGCACCTAAATTATTGGGATCGTCTCAAAGCCCTCCAAATGTACTCACTAGAAAGAAGACGAGAGAGATATCAAATAATATACACCTGGAGGATACTGGAGGGCCAAGTACCAAATCTACACAGTAAAATAACAACGTACTAGAGTGAACGATATGGAAGAAAATGCAGAATAGAACCAGTGAAGAGCAGGAGTGCCATAGGCACAATCGGAGAACACTGTATAAACATCAGAGGTCCACGGTTGTTCAACACCCTCCCAGCGAGCATAAGAAATATTGCCGGAACAACTGTGGACATCAAGAGGAAACTAGATTTATTCCTCCAAGGAGTGCCGGACCAACCGGGCTGTGGTGGGTATGTGGGCCTGTGGGCCGCTCCAAGCAACAGCCTAGTGGACCAAACTCTCACAAGTCAAGCCTGGCCTTGGGCCGGGCTTGGGGAGTAGAAGAACTCCCAGAACCCCATCAACCAGGTAATCAACCAGGTTCTTTTCCAGGTCTCTGGATTTGGGTTCCTGGTAAACTGGAGGAAGTTCCCTATTGGTTCTCTCTCGGGTTTGAACTTGGCTGGGTCTTGTCTGGGACTCTTGGTCAGTTTCTGTTTCTGCCTTCGGGAGCTTTGCTCTGCCTACAATTTCATCACTGTCTGGTGTAACTGGCCCCAGGTGACTCATCGGTTCATTGACCGGTTGTGCTGGAGCCTGAATTTTGCCTGCATTGTTTTTTCCCTGGGCAGGGTTTGGCTCCAGGCATTGTACCAGTTTCTCCAATTCTGCCTGCTTCACTGCTCCCACAGTGAAGTGTCTGTGAACTGTTCCCACTCACAGTAGGTGTTTGGGCCCCGCCCACCCTTCATTGGCTCTTGCTTCGCCAGCTTCCTCGTTGGGCTTTTCAGGGTTCAGTTCTGTGATTCCAAGATCCCTTGTCATGCGATGTGTTTATGGCCATTTCTCCATCCAGACTTCTCTTCTCCAAATGTCTTAAAAAAAATCCTCGTTATATATATATGGGAGCACTACACGTGTTATCATACATCATGCCAATCAAGATTCATACGGCACGTCATATCAGTGTCAATCGCCCACAAATCCAAAGTGGTTGGTGGGCCACTACCTTGTACTTCATCACCTCCACCTTGTATCCCAATCCTTGTTCAAGATTTCCTGTATCCTTATCCTACCCACTTTCATTCCCTGCTTACCAGCTCTACGCTTACGCAAAACGAAGCAAGAAGAGAGCACAATTTCTAGATTTGAGCAAATACTAATTTGCCCAATTTTTTATTTAATATTAATAATGGCATGATTGAGACTACTTATTGTAGTGCATTGTTTGTTGTTGTTTTAAACTTGTTATGATAGGTCAGATGTCAATTCATTCAGTCAGTCATAAACAAATGTGGATGATCACTGTGTACAGTGATCATACAAATCTCACAGTCTGAGATTTGTAGCCCGCTGATTTGTCTTTGGAGTGTGACTTTTTCCATAAAAAGGCAGAGTTGCAACAGCTTCTTGACACTGGCATTACCTCTGTCATACTTAGTAAATATACACACACACTTCTTGCCTCATGTATGCCACTGTAAGTCTTGGGGGCATAGCATTAAGTTTTAGTTGTCATGGACATGAATGATGCAAAATAACCACCCTGCTACAATTTTGGTTACTTTTAAAGGTTTTGTGTGTTCATATCTTGAATGCTACTTCCAGGTGACAAATAGTGCATCAGAGACAAAAGCAACGATCAACGCAGTGTTTGACAGTTTCATTGCAGCTGTGAATGAAAGTGTCAACTTGAGGCGTAGAAAACTCTTGGATGAAGTGAAGGAGGTGAGGCTGTCAGTCTTTTTATTTTCTAGTATTTTCATCTTCAATTGGATCCCTTCTCCAGTTTCTTCACCACTTTCTACTAATGAAACTGTGGATGTTGTCTTATACTTACTTGCTTAGCTAAAGGATCTATGGGGTTCAGTTCCTGAACCAATTATGTGCCTCTGTAACCCTTTTCACCACCGCCCAAGGGATGGGTATGGGGTGCATAATAAAGAAAAATGGAATTGAATTGCTTGGGGGTAACAGAGTTCATGACCTGTGTTCTGATTTCTAAATGTTGTTCTCCCATAATACAGTGTATGTAAAATAACTGAGCTTCATAAAATGTGACATTAATAATACCTCTGTACACAAATAACCCTGTACTGTATATAGATAATTCTAGCACAAGATGTACATTGACATGGTCGTATATTCAGTAACTGTTATATATGATGGTGGATTGTGAAAACAGGGTTCTGGTTCTTTCCCTATTCAAGGAATTACAATCGGTGCTAAATTTTGCTTCTCAACACTTTTAACTAGCACCATTGTCTTGAAATTTTTGTTTATCACTTGGAGTAATGCGCAGTCTTCTGTCATTGGTGTTGCTAACAAACCATTGTGTAAGAAGATAGACTTTATCATGTCTGGTCTAATGCGTTATTAAAATAGTCTCGAGATTATTATAGCTTTCATGTTGAAAACAGATTATCCTAGAGTCCCCTTTCCAAGTGCACCCAATACTCATTATCAGTCACAGAATTATTGATTTGTTCAAGGACTGTAACTTTAGACTTTAGACAAGGACTGTGACTGGTCCATCAATATTGGACCAGACAAGATGGTTTCTCCATTGTTGGAGACAGGAAGCCTGTTTGGTGTATCGAGGCTACGCTAGACCAATACCTGACTTTCCTCAGGATGCAGCCCACAATAGTCTGCTGTCTCCTGGGTACCTATTTACTGCTAAGTTAGTTAAAACATCAGATGTAAGGAAATGTGCCCAAACGTCTCGCCCTACTACTTCTGTCCATCATATGTTCTGTGATCCAATCACAGAACATGTGATGTACTGTTCGGTGAGATTTGCATTTCGTGATTTCATAATCTGTGAAGCAAAGTAGGTGATTTTTATCTCCTTATCTTGTCAAAAAAGAATATCTTGCTGTGCACCTACAGAAAGAAAGTTTAAACTGATTTACGTTCTTGTATGCAGTTTTCTTGAAGATGATGACTGGTTTTCTTATACCTGTACTGTATATGTATGAGCACATCACTAATCACTATGATTGTATTCTGTATGACCTAGAAAATATTTGCATTATGTGTCTTGCTGGTGCAATCATGTGTCTTCATTTGAATGAGCTGTATATCAACCTTAATTCATTGAGAACCACTGTAAACACAAAGCTCATGATTGCCTTCCTGTGTGAGAAATTGTACTACGCTGATCTATCTGACCTGCTCGGTATTGACCAACCAGCATTCAGCTTCATCTCCTGAATTTTTGTCATGAGAATATATGCAGCTCTAGTATGGTACCCTTACATTACTGAAAACAAGAGATTTGCTATTGTGCAGATATTCACTGCTGAGTGATGGAATCAGTGTGGTAATATACTTTAGTTGGTAACTGCAATGCTGCTCTGCCACCAATTTTTTTTTTTATCTAAATTGGGTCAGGAAAAGCTGAAGGAAACTCCAATAAGGAATTTATATCCAAAGTATTTAATGGGTGGTATCAACTATGAACTTGTTCAGTGGGGGGCTGAAACAAGATCCAGTGGCACACTGAGCCTGTGTTAAAGTTCATTATGCAGGTCTTTTTCCAAAGCATGAGAGTGAATGAGACCTACATAGAGAAAGCTGGTCACCTGTTGAACATTTTGTTAATCAAGGCAAAAGGCAACCTGATCTTACAATTAACAGGTGAGGCTTAAGTGAAAAGAAGTTTGCCAACATTGGTGTAAACATGGGAAGAAATGGTGTCCTGGACTGACTAAAGCCTCTTGGAAGATCATTCATTGATTTGGTTAATGGAGTCATAATGATTTCCACTATCACTGTACCACCAGAAGAATCCAGGATGTACTGTACTGTACATTGATGTGTGGTATGCAAGTGATATATCAATATTGTTTCTGCAATTAGGTATCATTCTGTTTACTTTTGGGTACTATAACACATCCCTCTCCCAAGAGGCTCAGCTATTTGTCTCCATTCTAACAGTGAGTTGGTGGTGTATTATCTCAACAATGGTGAGCCTATCAAAACCCTTTTATTGTGACTCGGTTAATTAAGTGGGTGAGGGGGGCCCTTTTTTTTTAATTACTACATAGCTTTGAAATTAAAGATTTTACGTAGGTCAAAGTTATCCTTTGTCATTTACTCCTTGTAATCTTCCTCAAGTAAAGCTCCTTTGCAACTCGGCTTTTTAGTCCAGCTCTGAACTCTCATTATCCAACTTGCAGAAAGAATTTGAAAAATGTTTACAGGTTTGAGAATGATTGTAATATACTTTATTCCATCATCATCACCATCATCATGATGTATATTGCCAAAACTCAAAACTATTTCTTTCTCTGTAAGCATATCATTACCTCAATTACCACCTGTAACCGTATCACAACATCCACCAATGATACATCGTTTACCACTTCTTCAATATCCTACGCGCTCTGATGCCTTGTACCATGTGTGTCTCAACTGTTTCATCAAGTGGGAATTTTTTCAGGGAATGTCCTATTCCAGAATCCACACACAGAGCTTCTGGTAGTCCATTTGTATCATTATTACTTTAAATCTGCAAAGGGTTTTCACTTACCTTGCCAGTGTGTGGTAATATGTTTGCTCTTCAGGTGACCATCTTTTTTGTCAGGTGTTTGGTACCACATAAAGCATGCCTTTTTATGTGTATTGTCTCTTTCACTTATGATTATCTTTTGTGTTGGGATCATGCAAGTAGAATAGCTTACAAATTAGTCTTTTTCTGGGGGGGAGCCCCATCAGCTCCCCAGAGCTATCCAGGCTGATATGCTAATGTCAGACTTCGGCATCAGTCATGTGTATGGAGTTCTGTGGGCCTACCGGGGACCACGAGCCCAGAACCTGACCCCCCCTCACAGAGGCGCGAGGAGCAATGGCCTATAGCAACCCCCGTGTGGTTGGAAGCATTCTATGTCTGCCATCGACTGGGGTAGACACCCAGAAAGGTAGGCGTCCCAAAACAAACCCCATTTCTGATGAAAATGGCTACATAAAGCCGAACAAGTGGATAGAACTCGCCAAACAGAAATGAGCAAGCGAGTATGTCGTCACACATCGCTGCGCCGCCGTCTGCACAGCTCCCCATAGGGGGAAGGAAGAGCCCCAGACCCCCAAGCCAGCCATCCACACCTCATTCTGAAGTATGCGACGGAGGCATTCGAGCCTGTTCCTCCAGCCATGTTGTATGAGTCTGCCAATGGGCTCCCTTTCTTAGTGTTATCCGGCTGCCCTGGCTTTTTCTTGAGGCTGTGCCTTTGGGGGAGACGGCTCGGCCCCGTGGCCTGCCGTGGAGGTTCCCGGGGCTAGGGAGGGACTGATTTGGGGGGGCCTCGGGACTCGTTGGACCCCACCAGGGTTCCAACAGGTCTCGAACTCAAGTCCCTCTGAGCGGGACTTGTGGTTACGGGGAGTGTGGTTTTTCCTTTTCCCCCCCTCTGCATACGAGTTGTTGGGCGTCGGCTCTTCCCCAGGTTCGGTTCATTGTCCCTTCGGGTCCGTCGGTTCCGTCCTGTTGGTGGGTACTCTTCTCCGTTTTCTCGCCTTTCTTCTCTGGGACAGGACTTCTCCGTCATGTCGGGATCATGTTTCCCTCGTGTTGGGGTTCTGCTTGACCCTTGGTCTCGGGTGCGACTTTGCCTTTATGACCCTTTGTGATTCAACCTGTTCTTGCATACAAAGATCCAAGCTCTTTAATCCAGCCGCCAAACCCCGTTTATGAATGAAAAGAGGTCTACATACGACTCTCAACTGATGACGTCTGAACACTTCAGGAACAAGTGCTTCGCTCACGTCCTCTGTTCGAACCACAATTCTATAAATGCTTCACCCACGAACTTATAAATATAAATAATTACCAACAGAACCTAAAAACCTAACCTAACCTAACCTATGCCAAACAACACATACAATTTGTATTTATAAGAATATTAATTTATATATGAGAACAAACCAATTTTTAATGCACAGTATGTTAAAATTGATGAATGCGCCTGGGGAGGACGGCCGCTGCTTTAAACAGCCTGGTGTGAGAACGGGTTGTGATATTTTGTGCCTGATTCTGTAGAATCTTAAAGGTTCAGGAAGGTTTTCGATTCTTCCCGTATTATTGGAACGTCTGTCGTCTTCAGGTGAGGCTTACTTCCAGTCCTTTTTAGGACTTGTTGGTCCTCTTCCATGCTTTTTCTTGGTTTTCGGTACTGTCTTGTTCTTTTGTAATTATATCTTCTCTCCATGCTGTCTCGGCACTGCTAATATTCCTTATATACTCCTAGTTGGCGCCCTCCCCACCGGGAGGGTTGTGCGGTTCGGACCTCGTACATCCTGCGCATGCGCCGTGGGAGTGTTTGTTGGGGACGGTGTACACAAATGTTGGTGTTCCATGTCCTTTTTCTCTCGGGTGCTTCGCTTTTCTCGCTTCTCTTATCTCTTCGGTCAGGGCCCCGTGGATACTGGGGGTGTTTTGATATTACCAATATGGGGAAGATGCCTAGTTTTCTCTGCATTTGGGGGTGGGGTGCCGCATTTGCCTCTACCCTTCTCTTCTGCATGTACGGCTCTAGCCTTATTCCACTAGCGGTGCTCCCGGAATATTCTCTGCTACGATGTGTCGTGACACGTTAGTGCCTAAGCTCTGCAGGTGAGTTTATGCAGTTGGGCGTCTCTTTCGGCTAGGCGCTGGTTCGTAGTTTTTGGATGAGTGCTGGGGATTGGTTGTGGTGTTTTGTTTAGCCCATTGTGTGCTTCTTCCTGTGGCCTTCCTTGTTCGTCTGTTATTTGTTACATTGGCACGGCCCAGTCTTTCATGGTCTTATCTTGTACACTCATTCCTTGCCCGTCATGCAGTGCATGGCTGAGCCCTTCCATATACATTGGTTTCTCTGTGTGTAGTAGGTCATGTTCCTTGTGTTCCAGATTGCTGCCTGTCTTCTTCGTTCCTCATCTTCCTTCTACACTCTTGTCCCTAGCTGCTGGTGCTTGGACTGTTTTCTGGTCCTTTTCTTGCGTTTTCCGTTTTTTCTCTTTCTCTCCTGCATGTTGTTGTGTGTTTTAGTATGTGCTTCTTATCTCTACTAATGCTAGGTTGGTCTTTGTCCATGCTGAGTTCCCTACTTTTGCACCGCCCCTGTGTTCGGTTCTGGTCCTGAGTTTTCTTATTTCCCTTGTTTGGCACTTCCAGCTTCTGGGTTGCCCTGTATGCAGGTGGATGTAGCTTCCGTTCTTCCTCTCTTGCCCTGCGGTTTCTTTTTGTTAGGCCAGGTGGTGCTAGGTTTCAGGTCCTGGCTCCGGTCTTTTTCTTTGTGTTCCTTTTCGGGAAGTGCATTATTGTTTGTGTGCTGTTCACGTCCTGGTTTGTTCTCATACCTTCCTCGGTATTGCGTGCTTCGTACTGCCCTGCTGGGACTGCGTTCGCCGCTCCTGTGGGTTGCGGTGTCCCTGCTTTTCGCTTTGCATTTCAGTTCGCAGTGCTCACTCCTTCATTGGCCTAGGCCTCGGGCCCTGGCTCTTCGTTTTTCATCGCAATTTTGTCCTTGCTGTTTGCGGCGTCTGTGTTTCGGCGTTTTTTCTGCTGGCGGCTTCTAGTTGTCGTCCGTTGTTGGAATTGTTGGTCCTTCAAGGGTCCCGGGGGGTTCCTCCTGGACGAGGCGTTTCTGCTCGCCTGGGTTAGTTCTTTCCCCGACTTGCCAGGTTTGGGCTCCTGGTTTCCTGGCTTGCCCTGCCAGTTAGCAGTTTTATGATCTCGCAGTGTCACTTCTCATGAATCTCGTGTCGGAACTACTGTGTTTCTGATCTCCTGGCAGGCTCGCTAGCATTGGGAAGTTTTCTGTACGACAGACGTTCCATCTAGTTCCTTGCTGGCATTGTTTTCCGGCTCTGCTTACTAGGTGTTTGCAACCGAGGTTTTCCTGTAGCTCTGCCTCTTCCTATGCTTGATCGGTCCATGGCGGGGCTGGTTAGGTTCTGCCTCGAGTCTCTCACCATTTGTTGGTGATCAGGTGGCTTCGTTGATTGTGTCCCATCTGCGTGCTTCGTCTCGGCGGCGGTGTGGTTTTTTTTGGCAGTCCTAACCTTTTTCTTTTTGTCCCTTCGTAGGTTTGCTGCTATGTGGTTGTTGGCGTGGTCTTGTCCTTCTCTTGTGGAGGTTCAGGGCCATCATCTTGCCACATACTGTCAACTTGTCTCGTGTGGTGCTGGCAGAGCCACTCTGAGTGGCTTCGGTTTTGGTGTTACCTCTGCACCAATTCGCTAGCTGTTTCTGGCGTGATTCACCCTCCAGTCTGGTCTTGCGCTGTTTGATCCATCCTAGTTCTTGGATTGGGTGCTCTCTTCTCTTCTCCTTGGTTTGTTGTGGCCCCTTTTGTTCTGGTTTGTTCTCCGAGGCTCTCTTTTTTTTTTTTTTGGCGTTGGCCTCTGGGGGTCAGTTGGGGTGCTTCATGCTCTCCTCCGGCGCCTGGGTTTGGCTCTTTTGGTTCTCCTGGTAGGTTTGTTCGCTTGCAGCCGTTGACTTCTTTTCTGGCAGAGACTGACACGGCTGCTTTCCAGAGGGGTCCTTGGGTTGTTGATGCTTGGTTGGTCTGGCCGGGGGTGCATCGTATGTTGTGTTAGGTTGCTGTGATTTATCGTTCTTTGCGTGCCACGGCTGCCATGACTGAGATCACGCTTTAGGCTGTTCCGGTTTCCCTTCTTCCCTGTATTAGGGTGCGGTTCTCTCGGGTCATCCGCAGGGTGGTTCGGTCCTGCCAGCCTGCTGTCTTTCCCGGTGCTCATGTCGTTCGTAGGTTGCCTATGTGTTCCTTCGTTGATGTTCCTGGGCCTTGTCGGGCCTGTGTGGCCTTGGGTTGGAAGTTATGGTTTTTTGTCTCCGTTTTGCGTTGGAGAGTGAGTGACTTTCGCCTCCTGGGTTAGGTCCCTCGTATTTTCGTCTCTGGGTAGGTAGCTCCGGGGAGCCGACGGGGCTTCTCCCAGAAAACCAGCGTTGAATGTAATGAAACCCCATTTTCTGGGCGAGACCCGGAGGCTCCCCGGCAACCCTCCCTCCCTCCCTCCCTCCCTCTGGTCAGTGTTTTTTGTCGCGTGTTTGATATCCAGCCTCAGAACTGGGGTGTGGACGGCCGGCGCCGGGGTCTGGGGCTCCCCCTTCCCCCTCCCGGGAAGGGGGGAGATACGCAGACGGTGTAGTGGCTACGTGTGACGTCATACTCATTTGCTCGTTTCTGTTTAGGAAGTTCTATCCACTTGTTCGGGTTTTTGTAGCAATTTTCACCAGAATAGGGGTTTGTTTTGGGATGCCTACCTTTCTGAGTGCCTAACCCAGTCGATGGCAGACATAGAATGTTTCCAACCACACGGGGGGTTTTATAGGCCATTGCTTCTCGTGCCTCTGTGAGGGGGGCAAGGTTCTGGCTCGTGGTTCCCGGTATGCCCACAGAACTCCATACACACGACTAATGCCAAAGTCTGACATTAGCATATCAGCCTGGATATCTCCGGGGAGCCTCTGGGTCTTGCCCAGAAAATGACTTTATATTACATTCAACGCTGCTTTTTTAATGAATATAATGTGCATCTTTCTATACAGGACACTCGGATTCTCCTGCTACCTTCCTTGCATTCATGATTTCCCAGTACTGTATTATGCAGTTTTCTTTGCATCAGAGTAAGGTCATCATGCTAAATAAGGCTTAGAATTGTTTTGTGTGCTTGTATGACCCTTTTGATGTCACTCGGGGCTGGATTGAACTTTACTCCATTGAAGAGGATCTTATATTTACTATAAGATTTTTGTGTGTATTGCAAATTTTCTTGATTCACTCACTGACAACAAATTATATTTTTGTTCTATCATGAGTCTCATGATATCTGGGAACATCCATATGGTTACCAATGTTTATCTACAAAACCAGCTTTTATTTTAAAATGTAACAAGTGTAGTCCTGACGTACATTTGGCAATTGCGAAAAGTCATGTATAGTGTTGTGCATGCACTTAACACAGGTGGAAGAGGAGGCACGTGGACCCCTGGACCAGTGTGAAAATGTTCTGGAGACTCGAGTCAGGGAAGCCGTGGAGAGAATAGAGCAGGGTAAGAGACTACAGCAGCATGGAGGTGTCATGGCGAAGGACACCGTCATTAGATATCAAGAGGAAGCAGCAGCCATGACCAGGTACAGCACTCAGTTGTCTTTCTTTGGCCTCAGTCTTGCAGAAAATAGCTTGTATAGTTATTATGAACATATGGTAATTTTATGACAGGATTGTAAAACGAAGAGAGATCTTTGACAAAATATTTCATAGTGCTGAATACTAACAATAATTAACACACTATCTTTTTCATATATATGTCAAAACAATTTTCTTTGTGGTAGTATAATCTTCATCTAATATGAATTAAAGTCTCGCAAATATCAAGATTTTATGTACTCTATTGCACTCTAATGGCTCAAGCTAAATAGGTGACACATTAAAGTAAAAGTTCTTTCGCTTTTACACCAAATACTATACAACTGAGAATATTTTGTACATATTGTATCAATTTCATTGTGCAAGTCAAACTGTATACCTCAGAACCTTTGTTTGACTCTTATGCATTGTGGAACTTCATCCCTTTGTATAAAATAATGAACGTACAATTTAAATACAGTACAGTGCATCATTTATTTCTATATACAAAAACTGATATGCATCACAAGCATACAAGGACAGTTATACCCAGTCCATTCACTCAGTTCTCAGTGGTGATATAATTTTGTTGGCATTCATTTTACAACTTACAATATTAAAGTGCATTTTATCCTATAGTTTGCCAGAGGTACCAGCCTTGTGTGCTGTGCCAAGTGTCAGCGTCGAGTTCCCTGGTGAGCCGTCATTGATAGAAGAAGTTCAAGACCTGATAGATCAAGCCGGACGGGTTTCACGGATGGGGCCGGTGCAGATCACCAACATAGTGGAACAGCCAGGTGCACTTCTTGTGTCTTGGGAGGAGGTGAGCATGTGTGGTCGATAGGTAATGTTTGTGTTGACACATTGTATTTAGGTCCCCTTCTTGAGTGCAAATGAGTGATGAAAGAGGCCACTTGATTGCAGATAAAGCCCATCAGAAGGAGAAGGTGCGGATGAATGAAGATATTTGATGGTGTTGAGTTGGGCATTGTAAAATATGTGAACTCGATTGCAGATAAATAATCACTAAACATGAAACCATAAACAAGAAACTATCTTGAAATTCACCTGTTTAAATTCTTTTAAAATCAAATCAAATCACTTAAAATATATAATTTTGTTAAATTGCAATGTAGCAATGTTTTGATAACCAAGCCGGTGTGTAGAATTCCTGGGCAGACATTTCAGGCTTAATATTTGTCTAAAATGTGTGAAGAATAATTGCTGTTTGTTGTTTATCTGACTCAACATTATAAATATGAATAAAGTCCTGTATTTAGGAGCCATGTTTATAAATAAATAGATTTTGGTTAGGTTTACCTGCATGCCCAGTTACTGTAGAATTGTGACAAATATAATATTGTTATTGAATGCATCAAAGTAATCAGTGTTAAAACAAAGTGAATACATATTTCAGGTTGACGAAGATGTTTCTGACGATGGGCTAGAATTTTGTTTTGAGTGTAGCAACACAGGAGCCACTGACCACCATACCGCAATATTCCACACAAAGTACGTAGGACCTGATTACTCCTTTCTGCTACGTGACCTTAGGGCTGGAGAATCATACCTGCTGAGAGTGGCATCACGGAGGGAAGGTTCCAAGAGCTTTGGGCCTTGGAGCTTAGTACAATCTGCTGTAACAAACATCCCTCATTACAGTAAGTTGATATTTGTAATACTGTGGAAACCTACTTGAATGAAACAATTAATTCCGAACTCCCATCCTTTGTATCCTAATGTCTAAATCCTATCCAAGATACTATATTTTTATTTATTTGTTTGCTTTTAACAGTGCTAAGTAAAGAACATGCTTTTGTATATGATTTGATACCAGAATCACTTGGAGAGTGTGCATTTTAAAATACAAAATGATATTTTAGTGTAATGGTTTGAAGTTATTTGGCTCAGTATTTGAGTCCATCGAATACATGACCTGGTCAGTAGGGACTCTACCATTATTTCCATTGCAACTGATCTTCAACTTTTATTATGTTTAGTATAGGTTCTTGTTGCACCCAATTTTCCATCACACAGGGGGATCCATTGAGTGTCAATGTACAGTGTATTGCTATATTATCAGTAAGATTGTGGGGCAAGTTTAGGCAAGATGTGGAATTTTGGTTATGAGAATGGGTTTCCCAGATAAAATTAGCTGTAGTCATAATTAATGCCTCCACCCAAGCCCCCTTTCCCCAGAAATTCATAATTGATTCTTGTTTAAATTAGCATTGAATGTTAATATTAAAAGCTGCCCCCCTCAAGAAAATAAAATAGAAACATCAGTTGCAATTTGGGCACGTGTTTATTAGTGGTTGAATGTCGACACAATGGTATTAGTTCTGCTCTTATTATTCCTATTCTGGGAGAAACGTTAATCTTTCTGTGTTTTCTAGTTTTATATAATGACCACCTCCAAATGCAAATGGTTTTGGATGGGCCCTGAAGTGGAAAAGGGTATTTGGCATTTTGCACATCAAAATAATTATGTATCTTAGGCATGGGTTAAATGTCCTCTGGATTGGGAGTCCAGAATATTGCAAGGTCAATAGAGGTACTGTATCTTTTGTTTCGTATGAGTGTTAAACCTCTTAAGTTTAATTTGTATATACACTGTATATCCATCCTCTTCCATATCAATAATTATTGTGTAACATTCAAATGGAATTTAAATGCTCATACTTTAATATTTGCTAAAGAATTACATGCATTGATCTTATAGAATGGAAGAGTGGATGTTCTTCAGGATGGAGCATAGCAGACGATGGGCGTCTGGCTTCCAAAGTAACAAGTGACTTAGAAGTCCTACACTCGGATGGACCCTTATTAAGAGCTGGCTCTTCTGTTTTATTTAAGGTAATTTGTGTGTTGTGTGGTCTCTTGGGGTTTGAAGGAAACTAAATAAAAAAATACAAAGTCTCGTACACTAAAAACATTTTATATACACCCTCACATTGAAAAAATGAAAAATACGTAACACGGTGAGATTGGGTGTATTTAGCCATCAGTGACAATGAAGAAGTGAGGTCTAGCTCATTAAGCAATGCCTACTGGCCTTGGTGTACTTGTTACATTATAATTTAACTATTATGATGATAAAATTCTTTGTTGAATCTGGCCTTGACATTGTGGTTGGAGGTGGCTTCCACAACTTCTTTCAGTGTATTGACCCATACAGGGTATGAGTATTTTCGAACTTTTTTTTTGGACTTGTTTGCATTTCCAGCTTCCACGTATCTCCTGATGTCCTACTTTCTCTCAATTTAAAGAGGCTTTACCGCCTTTTATATTTCCCTCAGTTTCCTGCATGGCATGATCAAATTGCCTATGTGCTTTTTGCCCTCTTGGGTGTTGAGGTATAGTTTTCCTAACTATTCTCATATCTTAATTCTCTTAGCTCTGGAACTAATTTTATTGCAAACCTCTGTACTCTTTCAATTTTGGGTTTATTCTTCCCAAGGTGTAGATTCCAGGTCGATGTTGCATATTCCTCTAGTGATCTAACAGAGGTTGTGTACACTGCCTTGACAAGTCCTGATTTAAGTATCTAAACATAGTTATAATGCTTGCCAGCGTCCCATGTACTGCAGATATTATCATATTTGTGTTTCGCTTGTGTTAGCATTTGAATTATATACGCCCACATCATTCTCTCCTATTCTTGTAGTTGCCTTCCCCCTTACAGTGTAGGTACCACCTGGTTTCCTTTCTGCCTTTCCTATCTTCATTACCATATACTTGTTGGGATTGAATTCTAGCAATCATTTTTTTTGTCTATACCTTGAGTTTGCCAAGGTGGTCTTGTAATTACTGTGGATGATTGTGCTGCTGTGGATGACTGATAGTGTATTAGTGTTTGTTTTACTGTGAAAAGTACAATGAATTGATAATTAATATACTTAATCCTTTATTATCTAATAACTATAACCTTCGTTGACTATATTTCTCACCTTTTCTGGAGGATGAATCCCCATGCTGAATCACACAAGCTGTAGGATTACTATTCGGTCTAATGGGAACCAGACCTAGAACCTGGTCATTTCACAGACCCACAGGCAGCAGGGAATTGTTACAAACACCCTCACTGACAAAGCATCCAAAAAGTAAGCAACGCAATACTGTAATGTTAAAAGAAAATGAACCACCGAAACACTCATATGACTTGGCAAAGGATTCATTCAAACCCAAATGATTCACTTGAAACTAGCTTGAACCCCTCTAGTGCAAATGGCTGCCAGCAGGTGGCACCTCATTAACTCCAGGCTCCTATGCCAGCAACAAGTAAGTTCTGTTGCAGATGTCTGTGACTGCAGACCTTTCTGAGTCGCTGGTCGTAGTGAGTCCCACTTCTTTTGTAAGTGTAGTTGCAGCTCTCCTCCCTGGTAAGTGATATATTGAGGTTATCTTGAGATGATTTCGGGGCTTAGCATCCCCCGTGATCCGGTCCTCGACCAGACCTCCTTTTTGTTACACACCCCCAGGAAGCAGCCCATAGCAGCTCTCCCAGGTACTTATTTACTGCTAGGTAACAGGGGCATCAGGGTGAAAATTCTCTGGCCATTTGTTAACGCCTCCACCGGGGATTGAACCCGGATCCGGAACCTCAGGACTACGAATCCGAAGTGCTGTCCACTCGGCTGTCAGTCCCATGTACAGTACATACTGTATTCCATCTTCTCTGTTAAATAACTTTAGGGAGCTACCAAGAGACTGCTCCAGAAAAGTAGCATTTAATGTAATGAAACACATCTTTCTGGTAGAATCTCGGTGGTTCCCTGGTTCCTGCCCTTCCAGTTGTGCAAGTTCATGGTCTATCAACTCTAGACTGACTCATTGCTGGTATGGGAGCCTGGAACTTATGGGGTGCCATATGTTAGCAGCCATTTGGACTAGGGGGTTTTAGTAGTGTCAATGACTAATTTGGGTTTGGGTGAATTGTTTGTAGTCATTTGGCTGTTTCAGTGGTTCTTTTTCTTTGAGCCTTGCAGTTGTCTGTATTGCTTGATATGACTCCTATGGCTGATATGACCGCAAAGGGGATAGACATCTCCGAGATAGTTTCAAGGAATTACCGTAGCCATACTGTACCAGAAAGCAGGATTTCATTATATTCATATTTGGTATTTTTTTGTTCTTAGTTGATACTGTATCTCTCCCCCCCACTCTGTTAAAGTGTGTAACAGGGTAATGATAATGTACTTTTATGTGTGTGTGTTGATATCAACAGGTGGTGTGTGGAGGTGTAGGTTGCAGTGATGAGGGTCTTGGTCTGTGCTGCCAGCCTGTGACTGGCCCAGAGCAGCTCCTCCTACCTGGTGCACTTTTCCTCAGCGCACAAGGTAGGCCCCTTTGTTCTTGGATCAGTAGTTTCTGAACAAAAATTAATTTCTCTTAGCTTAGTGCCTCTAAAAGGTATTATGAATTAAATTTGGATTTCTGGCAAGAACCTCATCTTGTTTACTGGTGTTTTATCTCCATTTGATGTTAATCTATTCCTTCTGGTGTGGGTAATGTGTCTGCTCTACAAAGTAGTGAATAGAATGTAGCCATACTGTTCTCTATTTTTGGTCGTTTGCTTCAGGATTGTTTTATATGAATCGTATTAGAGTTAGATTAATATTTTGGGAACTTTTCCCTCTTGTTTAAAACACCTGCAGCATCATTGATACAGTACTCTTTGGCTGTGCATTAGTTGATTAGGTACTGTATTGCACTTCGGGTATTTACATTATTGTATCGATGAAAACTTTTTGACCCGACCAGGATTCGAACCCCTACCTCCCCTGGCATACAGGGTACTGTAACCACTTCACCAATGAGTCTATCATTGGTGTAGTGTACCCGGTATGCCGTGGGGGGGGGGAGAGGTAATCTTGGGTGATGGGTTTGAATCCTGGTTGGGTCAAAGGAGTTCTTAGTGATCAACCCTTAGACCGCACAATACATATATAGACGATGGGAGTAATTTTACCGAAACCGCGCAATAAATATATAGACAATTGAGGCTCTAGCGCACGATTTTAAATGCCCCACAAGGTATAGAGGCAGCTATAGTCCAGCCACGACCAATAGTTAACAGATGCCATCTAGAAAAAAAATCGTGGGCAACATTTCCAGGTGTGAGAGCCTCAGTACTGAGTGAGCCACCAAGGCTGATGCACGCAGCATGAGCTCACAGCACCACTGTTCAGCTTGTGACCACAGCATCGCCTAAAGTCAAAATATATATGTACATGCAATTATTTAGCGATGATAGTGTTACAGAAGATCCCTGACTGTGATAAAACTGACCAGGATTCTGATAATAGCAGGATTGTGGTGATATTTAGCACTCTGCTCCTTGGTGGGAGGAGTTAATGCTGAGGGAGGGAGGGAGGGAGGGAGGTGGCGTCGTCTTCTGACTGTGTGGGGCCATCTTTTATTGACTGGACTTACCATACCAGCTTAGTAGTTCGCTATGGTAAACACAAATGTAGATACTTATTACACTCTCCATACACGTTATATATAACAGCAATAGGAATATGTTGGGAGCTGCCATTTTGGTGAGGGAGGTGCGTCGTTTACATGACATGTCATGGTGTGTACTGGTGGCCACTATGGTCTTTGGGCACGATACCAGCTTATTTGTGCAGGTATGGTGAATAGAACATGTAGATACTTGTATATAATGTGTGTATATAGTGTAATAACACCACAAACAGTATTGTTCGAGGAGAAATATTAGTGCGTCTGGCCTTGAACCAGTGAGGGCAGCAGCCACCGGCTGACTGTGTGTGTAGCTACGTCTCTTATTGCCTGAACTCGCCATACAAGCTTAGATGTACAGTTATGGTGAACAAAACATGTCAATACTTATATATAACGTCTGTGTATAGTGAATAAAAGCAAAAACAGTTTGGTGGGAGGAGTATGTTGGTGAGTGAGGAGGTGAGGGAGGGAGTGGTGGGGTGTGGCTGGTTGGCTGGTGAGTGGTGGCCACTCTTCATTGCTTTTTGACTCACAATACCAACTTAGTGGTTCGTGATGGTGGACAAAACATGCAGATACTTATATATAACCTGTGTATATAGTGTAATAACAGCAAACTATTTTGTTATTTTTTTATGAACATAACACAGTGGCACCACAGTGAACGAATTTAATCCGTTCCGGCACCGAGCTAGTCATGTGGAAAACTCGTCTTGCGAAACAACAACAACACTGTTGTCGCAGGTGTCCAAGAACCAGCGGGAACGCTCGTTAAACGAGCGAAAGCTCGTCAGTCGAGACAAACTATCTGCGAGTGGCTTGCTTGTTACTCGAAATGCTCGTAACTGGAGACACTCGTCACTTGAGGTTCTACTGTAATTGAATCACTAATATGCACACCATAATTTTGAGTACAGCGATGGTTCACACATTTGATTATATAAATATATCACAATTCACACTTGAATAATATTACTGAAAAAAATAAAAAATAAAAATAATGAAATAGACATTGAAATAGGTAATAATATCTTTGTGGCAACACCCGCCTGACAGCTAGGGCGGAACAGACCTCGTCTGGCGCCTGCTCTGTCAACGCCTCTCTTTTGCCAGACTTCCCCGCCCTATTGAGGCCAAAATATGCCACCAACGATTTTTTTTTATTTTTCCCGTGATCAGGGAACACAAATGAACACTTTTATAAGACGAAAGAATTTTTTGGATTTTTTTTTGTTGCGCCTGTGGGTGTTGAAGGCCAAAAGGCCCTTAGTGGCCTAAGGGTTAATGGCTCATGCATTAACCTTTGCATGAGGGAGCCTTTGTGTCACATAATTATGTATCAATTTACTAGCATTCTACTGTGTGTGGTTGCCCATGGTAAAAATTTATATATGGAATTTTTAATAATCGGGTATAACTATAAGGAAGGAAAACTACGGTACCTTGTACTGTAGTTTTTATAATTTGGTTTCCATGTAAGATTTTGAGAATTTCTTCGTATATTGAATTAAAATTTGTAGCATTTACATATTGTGGGACAATTGGGGCTTGACTCTATTTATTTAATTATTGAAGTAATGAAAACTATTACGAAGGACCACCCGCTTTTATAGTAAAGAGGGAAACTAATAAAATGTGATCATTAGAAATTCCTAGAGGAACCAGTAACTATGGATAAATACTAGAAAATATAATCACTTGAATAATTAATGGGCTGTATATATAATTTAATTGAATCAAAGCCTCAAACACCTACATTGGGGGTTATTGCTAGAACTTCATATATGTCTAGGAACCAGTGTGGTTCGTACACCAGTTCATTATGTAATAACCTAATCTTATGACCAATTAGAGAATCAATAGAGAATTTGTCACCAATAAGAACACAGATTATGAATATCAGAAATTAATGATTATAATAAACACATGTTAAATCCAGTGCACAGTGATCAATAGTAATAATACAGTACAGATAATTTGAATAATTGAATACGGAAAAGGGTCTTAGCTTGAAGACGTTTTCCAAGACATCAGTCATGAATCATCCTCGGAATCTCCGGAATTCTTCATGGAACACTGGGAGATAAATAACACGAGTAAAGTAACAGCTCAGGCAATTCCTCACACGCAAGCTGTAAATTAAGATATATTACGTAGCAACACATTAGTCTGCTAAATATCTATATTCAAGAAATTGGGAATGGAGAGTGATAAAATATACTAACATGTGTTTTATTTATGTCGTTCGGCGTGACGACAAGCTACCCTGCTGTAAACAATCTCTAATGATGCATCAAAAGGGAATATGTGTACTTAGCTAATAGGGTACTGTGTAAGTTGAAGCTTGCCGAAACTCGCGTCCCAGGCTCTAGCGTCGCAATGGCGAACACGTGGTGGCTAGCTTGGCCTAGATGTCGACGCGCTTCTCTGGCCGGTCACGATGGATTACAAGGAACAAATTGACAAGTTCCGGGCTGAATGTCAAGTTAATTCTTGTTGACGATTCACCACAATGTATCCTATGACACTGACACCAAACGAGTTGCTCAATTCCGCAACAAGTCTTCACACCGCACTTTGGCGACTTTCCTCTCAACTCGACGCCTCCACACCCTCTCTCGTTAATGGCGTCTCTCCCTGCTCCGCTCCGCATCCCGCATTTGCTACACAAATTATTTACTACGCATAATATTATTTCTCGCAGTTGCGGCTAAAATGCTTGGATAATGACGGGTTTATAATTCTAGGGAGCTAAATATTACGATGTTAAACAAGCAATGGAGATGATTTTAATTCTCTCCATGGCATTCACGTGTGACGTTAAATTTATTACCAGATAACAGTTGTAACTAGAAACGCTCGATTTGGCATTATTTGGGAGTCAGGTTATCGGTAAATAATTATCACACAGAACACTGTTGTTTTTAGAGAATCAAACTCAATTCTCTGACACACTGGATATAAATGTGTTTATTTTGGTAGAATCTGACGCAATACTGGTGTTTGGTTACGTAAGAATTCTAGCATTATTGTACAGACACAATTATTAGTTCATGTGAACTCTACGGTTGGTTAATTTTAGTTACTACAGTAATTAGTAGATTTTAGTAATAATTAATAATAATACAACAGTGTTGTATCATGTTGGAAATTTCCAACACATATGATGGTAGAAAGAAGTTTCTTTTTGTAAATGGGCTATGTAGCTTCATAGTGGACAATTTAAACAGCTATATCTTCATTAAGGGAGTGGTAAGATTGAATTTAAGCAATATTTTGATAGCAAACGAATAGTTTTCTAAACGGTTCTACACACACGCGTGCTCTGATGTCAAGAGATACTCCAAGTAGCCTTAAGTTTAAATTGCCACCCAAGGAAATTTGTGGCATCACAGAAGTGGTAAATGGTGATGTTAAAGAAGCGGTAAATGATGGTGTCACAGAAGTTGTAAATGATGATGGTGGTGTCTTTTTGAACATTTTCAATATTTTTTTCCTAATTTGCACTGTCTCTCTCTTCTGGGCTGATGCCTCCCCAATCTATGAAAGAGGAAAACTATACTCATTGCTGGCATTGTACTAGTTTTATTACACTGGATACATCATTTGTTTTCATTTTACCTCGTGTACTAAATTAAACTTCCGGGATTTATAGGGGCAAGAAATAAATTCGGAAGAAAATACAAAGTTAAAACAAGACAATCTAGGAAGGCTGTCAAAATAGTTGAAAGAAGTGGCAGGTTCAGTTTAATTCTGAAAAAATGCAGAATTCTGAGCTTGTATAATAATAATACCCAGATATCAGCTGGAGAATGTTGAAATTGCAAGGTGTGAATGCAAGAAAGATCTAGGAGTCATGATTAGTAGGGATCTAAAGGAAAAAAATAAAAATAAATGCATAAATATATGGATTAAGACAAATAGGATACAGTACTGGGATTAATTTATAGCAGTGTTAGCACAGCCAAACATCTAATATTATTCTTTATTTTTATGTTTCCCTTGTTAGGCATGTAAATTATGCAGTTCAGTTTTGATCCCTGTACTATGGAATGGATATAAATTATCATGAATGTGTACAAATGAGGAAGACAGTTAGTCCCAGGAATTAGAAACCTTTCTTATGTAGAGAGATTCAAAAAGCTTAACAAAACATTCTCCAGAAAGACAAAGCATAATGGGTGACATGAGTGAAGTACAGTACAGTACAGTATATAAATGGATGAAAGTGTATAACAAAAGGGATATAAATAAAATCTCAAATATATTGGCACAAAATAGAACTTGAAACAATGGGTATAAATTGAATAAGTTTTAGATTTAGAAAAGACCCGGTTGAGTTCTAGTTTGGGAACAAGAGTTCTTCATTTCTGGAGCAAATTACCATGTAACATAATAAACCTGGTTATCATGAGATCTTGAGATGATTTTGGGGCTTAGCGTCCCCGCGGCCCAGTTCTTGACCAGGCCTCCTTTTTATTGTGTGGGAGCGATAGATGGCATGAGGCGTAGGTTAGCAATGTAGATGAATTAGTTTGGGTGGCCATAATTGGACCTGCCTAGTGTGGGCCAACATGCCTTTTTCAGTTTCCTTTATTCTTATGGTTTTAAACAGTTGAATTTATATTGTGGGGTATGCTGAGCTGGGAATGCCTATCTCAGTCACTCTCATGCATGTAATTATATCACACCTACACATTAGGTGATATAATTACATGAATGAGAGTGACTGAGATAGGCATTCCTACTAGACATAACCTACTGTAAACTACACAGTAGTTTACAGTAGGTTAACAGCCAAACTTACCAAAGAATTCTTCCATAAATATTTGGAGCAAATTAATCTTATGAAAATCATATATGAAATGAATAAATGGAATAATTTTCAGTATACAGTACTATATATTAAATTTGCTGAAGTAGGGTAGATTTTAATCAAACATTAGCTTTAAAGGTGGTGTAAATAGCCCACTCTTCCTAGTGCTTTATTTTTATAATGACTTACTTTAAAGGTTGCGTGTTCTTGGATGGAATCAGTCGTGTAACACGATTACCGGCAATTCAGGACAAATCGCAAGTCAGCTTTGCTGTGGAAAAGGTGTCATCAACTAAGTTCAGAGTGTATATTGAGAGTCAGGAAAAACAGGTAAGCTCTAAAATGCTCTGGAGTTAGCTGTTTATGAAATGGTATTAAAATATGACTTTGCTTTAAACATTTGTTAATATTCTGTACCATGTTAAAGTATGTGTTATATGTTCATTACTTGTTTTTCAGGTGACGTATGAATGGGGTGTTCCGAGTGCACAGGAAGGTTTGTACTTTGTTGCAACGTTTGGCGAGGCACGCTGGAAAATTAGTGTCCATTAGTTGGTATCGATCTTATAAAATCAATACGTCTCAGTTAAGCTCATTGATGTCTCTATAATTTTTAATATGATGTCTCTATAATTTTTATATATGTTTAATGCTGTGGATATTGCATGGCATGTGTGTGTGTTTATAAATAAATAATATATATATATATATATATATATATATATACGTGTGTGTATATATATATATATATATATATATATATATATATATATATATATATATATATATATATATATATATATATATATATATATATATATATATATATATATATATATATATATATATATATATATATATATATATATATATATATATATATATATATATATTTATTTTATTTATTTATATATGTATGTATGACTAAAAAATAAAGCAAGAGTAATTATGTGCCTAAAATAACCTAGTAATACCAGAATATTAATAGAGTATTATAGTTTTATTCAAAGATAAAGAATATTTTTTCTTAAAGATTCACAAATGATAATTACTTACTTTTGGAACATTTCTGAAACTTTATATATAAAATTTATTGGAAGGATTTCATTCTTGTGATATTAAATTAATGTTGATTTCTTTGGCAAATGTTTTGATCATTGCTTTTTGGTCCGAGGCTGTAGGCTGTGTAAAGTTGGAATATTATTGCCAGCATTATTTCCCCCTGATGACCACCTCCAAGCACTAGCAGTGGGCAGGTATTGGCTCACTTTGACTCACTGAATGTATGTTGGAGGGATATGTGAGCAGTTACATGTATGATTTCACTCCAATGTGAATGGAGATGAATTTAAATAGGTAATAGAGAGATAGTAAGGGCTGTCAAATGTATACAAAAATATTTGCCATTTGTTAAATTTCATAATTTAATTTGCCAATTAATGTATTGGTGGAAAATACAAATAAAGTTGCAATAAAAATTTATTAACTCAAAATGTGAAACTATTCCACACCTTGAATCATATTTTTATGCAAAATTAGCAGTCTCTGTTGTATTATGTTACCTGAAGGAAACTTTTAGCGTGCTTTAATGTGTTTAACATGGCTATTATGTCAATTGCATTCATTGATAATACATGAAGTCCAGTCCCATACTTGGTACTATAGGCTTTAGAACTTGAGTTTGTTTTGCTGGAGGCTTGATAAGTCGTAGCGGTATAAAGTGTGCATGAAAGGTTTAGTCCACAGTGTACGTTTGTAGCTCGTCCATGTACCATCCCAAGTAATCAGTACTTGCTTTGATTATACTTTTCCATAAGCATTGTCTTTCCAACACCTATATTTTTGTTTATATAAATACCCAGTTCTCAGGGTAATCTGTTTGCTTACTCTTCTTGATTGTTCCCAAAGCAACCCCATAACTGCTCATATCTTCATTCAGACAGATTTGAAGGGTATAACTTTTTTATATCAGTCTCCAGGGTAATATTATACATTTTTAAGTGTCGGAAACTGCTCTAGCCCCCGTTTTGTAGAAATTTATTGCAGTATGTAGTTCTCTTAAGAAACTGTCCTGCATCCATGAAAAAACTTTTCATACTAGAAATCCATATGGCTCGGTTAAATTGCATATTTGTGCTGGAAATATAGCTAAGATATAGCTAAGCTAAGGAAATATACAACTAAGATATACATAGGTATGCATGGTATATTTTAATCATCATTTATTATTATTGTTGTTTTGTAGTCATTCATTGTCATTCGTTATTAATTTGTTGCATTTTGAGTTTACCTTCATTATCATCTTCAGCTCATCATCTTTTTATACCTGTTCATTTATTCCAAGCATATTTGCAGGTGAAATATCTAAAGCTTGAAAATATTCAGAAACCCATTTCTGCTTATACAGAATTAATAAAGTATTTAATATACCTGTATCATCATTAAGCACTACAATTGTACTCCTTGAAACCGAGGTGAGAGATCTCGTCTATTATACATTATAAATATTTGAAGGTCATGTTTGTTATCTGCACAATAAAATGCAATTTATGGAGTGAGAGATACAGCTGGAAGTGTAGCAAAAACACAATGTCAAAATATGGATGATATAGGTAAATTTGTGTCCTGACCTCCAAATTCAACCTTCTGCCAATGAATAATGGAAAAGTTGCAGAAACAAAAGACTAATTCTTCAAGAGGAAGCTCAACAAGTTCCAGCAGGATGTGCCATGTGTGTGTGTGTGTGTGTGTGTGTGTGTGTGTGAGAGGCTGTACTGTGAGGGCTATATAGGCCTGCGTATAATTAGCAAATATACTCGCTGAGCAGTATGAGTCAGTTCCGCATAAAAGGTTTCAATGTTTACATGTCACTTCTCTTTCTATCACTTCACTTTATATTTTTTACCATGTGATCAGCCTCCTTTGCTTGTTTTATGTTGGAGACGGCACTAGTACCATTGTCTTACTCAACCAGTCATAATCATGTTTTTCTAATAACTTGGCCTTGTTATCAAGGGTAAGGGACGCTTCTCTTGCCTTCTTGTGATTTACTTGTACTACTGTTGCCACACGACATGTCTCCAAATGAATAGAGTACTGTATTGTTATATCAAAGAAGAAAAGTGTGAAAATGCATGAGTAACAAGAGGTCAGATGGCACTCCGAGTCAAGGAAAATACATGGCTAATATGGGTGCCTTCACAGTAGGTCTGAATGCCTTGGGAAAAATCATCACATTAACTCATTTAAACAATTTATAATACAGAACAAGCTAAGTAAAATAACAAAATATATAGGGGGGTACCACCTCTGCTTGTGTTTGTAAGGATCCTCGACCTCGAAGAACAATATATATATATACCGTATATTATTTCAAATAATACTTAAATTACAAATTAAAAATCAACATAGCTGCCCTTTTACCAAATTCCATATTTTACCCTCAAGAAATCCCATAACAAACAAATCACATAGCATTAGTAGTAGAACATTTAAGAGCAGCCTAGATGAACTGCTTCATTTAAGTTGTTTGTCAAGACTGGGAAATAAGTACAGATATTATCTTGGAAAGTACAATGTGTAGATGCCAAAACTAAAACTGAGCCAAGTAAATAAAAACTTGAATGGAAAACATTCCAACTGTGTGGTTCTTTTTGTGTGTTGTTAATAATATTAACAGGATCTTAGAGAATCTTTTACACTTCGGTAGAAGGAAAATGCCATGATTCAAGTTTGCTAAGATATGCAGCACTTAATCCAAATAATTCATTGCTCTTTGTAGTCTGGACAAGGATTATCTTTACTGATTTTTCAGACGAGACTAATTACTCTTAAGTATAGCATTTCTGTAAGTTTTCTGATGGAAGGATTTAGCATTTCTGTCTTGTGTGTTGATCAAAACTCTAAATTTTGTTTATTGACAACCCATCACAAGCAAGGTAATGAAGTGGCCAGCATTATTTGTTAGAAAATAAATCTTGGGTAGAATTCAAGGTCACATTGCAAAATAAGTCTAGCTTTCTTATTCATTGGCAAATGATATCCTTAAAAGAAATTTATCGGCAGTATTAGTTTAGTATGCTACTATTTCATTTGTAAAGGGGTATTAGAAACTTTTTTTTCTGCAGTTTTGCATTATCTTATGCTGCACAATGAATTAGTTTGATTACAGTAGCAAAGTGGTCTGTGTCGTCAGCTCACCGAGGGTCCCAGGTTCTTTTCTCGTGACAGGACAAAGATGGTTGGGCATGTTTCCCTTCACCTAATGCATCTATTCACCTAGATGCAAATAGGTACACAGGAGATGGGTCATTGTTTTGGGTTGCATCCTGGAGAAGGTCAGTATGTGCTTAGAGAAACTTTAAAATGCCTAACAGACTTCTTGTCCCTAACAGTAGGAAACAAATATGCAGTACATGTATAGCATTTCTCCTATCTATTATTACTTTTCTGGGGGTAGTCCTTTGTGGCTCCCTGAAGCTACAATGCTGATATTGAAAACTTACCTAGTGTCATCAGTCGGAGTTCTTTTAGGCCTGCTGGGGACCGAGGGGGGGGCCAGAACCTGGTCCCTCAAAGAGGTACAAAGAGCAGTGGCATTATGAGAAAATTGTATGTGAATTGTATTCATGTCTGCAACCACCAGGGAGGTAACCAGAAACTCGGCTAAACAAAATAGACCACTTCTGGTTAGAAGGAAGACCATCACCTCAAAATTGCCAAAAGAACTCGCCCAACAATGTAGACAAATAATTGAAAATTCATGAAAGTAGAGCAAGCTCGTTCGCCTCACCTTCCACCTTCTTCACCCTCATTTGGGGGAAGGCGGGAGACAGACAAGGTCAGCCAGCTGCTTCACTCTCAGTTCTTTGCTGATTAAATTTTTTTTGAATTTGGTAATATTTTAATGTCTTTTAAAGTTTTTAAAGTTTTTGTGATTTGAAATGAAAATTGTTGAGTTTGGCAATATTTTGACATTTTTCTATTTTTATATTTTTATAAATTTTATGTTAATAATTCATTAACAACTGTGCCATAAAGTTGTCACATGAAACAGATATGCAGTGCAGGGATTAATAACTGTTTACTATGTGCTACTCCAGGCATACTCCACAGTAATGTGTACAGTGGGAGTAAATTTGGAGAGGATTCTTGATGTATCATTGGGGTTAAGGGACATTCCAAATGTACCTCCTTCAGAGTTTTTTTGGGGGGCTTGCCTAGTGTGTTTCATTATCCCAAGTATCATTGTAACAAGTCTCCCAACTCCATAACACCCTCCTAATTTTACCCTGGACAGGGTTTTGTTTGGGTTTTGTGTAAAGTAGACTGTACACAGCTTTCTGCCATGGCCGTGATCACTGACAGTAGACTACGTGGGACTTTTGCCAGCTTTTTGTATTGCCGACTTCCTCTTCGGGTTTTTCGGGATTTGGTTCCGTGGCGCCTTCTTCCGCTCTAGCTCAACATCTTCGAAGATGCCTCTGCACTCGATTTTGGGCTTTGTGACCAGTGGTCACCAAGCTTGTCAGGGGCCATGGTCCCCTTATCTTCATAAAGCTCACAGTACTGTGTGGGAGTTTGAGGCCATAAAACATACGCTGCAAAGGGTTCAG